AATAACAGAATGAAAATAAATAAGTATATGTATTCATGGTATAAGAGTTCATGACATCCTGGATAATGTCTTTTATTTAATCATATTTTTTTCTAAGACCGTTTATATTATTATTCTTTTCATTTTACAAATTAATTATAAGTAATCTACATAAGCATAATGTGATTTCACTCATGTTGTGATGCTAGATTGACTATTCAGGTTTTCTTTATTATCAATATTTTTTTTCTTTCCATAAAAATAGCCATAATCCATACGCCTTATCACTTCCACTGAGAACCTTTTAACACGGCTGGCCCGCAGAGAAATGTCATGTATCAAACGAGGGAGATGACGTCACCTGACCGCCGCGGCGTGCGGCTAACACGCGCTAATGGAGCGAGCTCCCATTGGCTTAATGTGTTCCATAAAGCAAAAACTATCATTAGGCTTAATGAAAAAGCAGAATGCTTTACAGCTGGTTATATAAGATCCTGAAGGCCTCTCCATCGGGTGGCGCCTCGGTCAAACTGGCAACTACCCCTCTGTGGAAAGGTATCTTTAAAAAAGAAAGTATGTAACTTAGGACGTGAGAGTTATGATGGCGTGAGATTCCTGAAGTCACAGAGGAAGCCTTTGCTGCATAGTGTCAGTGGCTGAAAGACCTAGAGTTACTCCTCTCTCCTAGTATAATAGACTCAGCAAAAATGAAGGAGATCATACACACAGGGAAGCCACATGCGCAGTTAAAAGGCAAATCCTCGGTATCGCAATTCCCCAAAACCTGGACAGAAGCACAGGAACAAGCAAAAACACTGTTTACCGCGACATCATGAATTACCCGCCAGTAGTAACTTTCTGTCTTGATATAATGTTGAAATTGCTCTCAGTTGTTTTAAAAAATGTTCATAATCCATTCTTTACACTTCTGTTTCACTTCTCATGTGGTGCTAATTTAGTCCAAAAATATGGTGGAAAAAGTATAGAGGCATAGAACAAATTGAGTCTTGCATCACGTACAGACATATGGCATAATTATGCCCAAAACTGAATCTGGGAATTAGTCTGAGTCTGTGTAGCTGCCCCCATAGTCCAAAGCAGATTGGCTTTTTTTCATTCTGACTCATGGTTGAAATTAAGATTTCTTTCAAGAATAGAATATAGTCTCTTCGCCAGTGGACCTTGGGGACCCGTAGCTTGTCCACGTTTTTGCTCCCTCCCAGCTCTCGGTAGGAAAATGTGAGCAAAGATGTAAACTGTCTGGCAGGGGGCTGGGAGGGAGCAAAACCGTGGACCGGATTTTCCGAGGGCTTCCAGCGGCCCCGCAGCTCGATCACACCCACACCACACCCGTGTCTGCAAACTCAATTAAACGGCTAAACACTCCCGCGAAAGGTTGCGGTGAATCGCAGAGGCCGGGACACGGGGTCAAGTGCAATTGGCTATTAGCGGTAGAACATTTTAAAACAAATTTGAGGAAGCACTTCTATACACAGCGTGTAGTTAGAGTTTGGAATAGTCTTCCTGCTAGTGTAGCGGAAGCTAAAACCCTGGGTTCCTTTAAGTCAGAGCTAGATAAGACTTTAACAACTCTGAGCTATTAGTTAAGTTCTCCCCAAACGAGCTTGATGGGCCAAATGGCCTCCTCTCGTTTGTAAATTTCTTATGTTCTTATGTTCTCCCTCACTTAAACTCAGCCTCAGGTTGGTGATTACAGAGAGACCCGTCCGATTCTGGAACACAAATAGTATTTAGAGAAGTCTCCCAAGTCTCCATTTGATAAATCACCTACTAACACCATAAGACAGTCATACCAAGGTCTTTCATCTCTGGGATTATTAAATCCTGGGAACTATTTAAAAATGAGAAGCTAAGAAGTTTTGCTGCAGATATTCTGACCAAAACTGTGTTCCTGACACAGTTTAACAGGAGGGCTACCAATAAACCACATCTGAGACGGGCTGAAATGAACATGGATCTAAATGTCAGTAACTTCAATCATCTTCTTTAAATGAATTAACAATGCTAGAAAAGATACTTTCTGCTAACTATGGGAAAACTCAATTTCCTTAACTTACCGCTGAGATAAGGTGTCAACTTAGCATTTATATGTACAATATATATATAGATATGTTTTATATCTAACTCTAGAAGCTGCATGTGTGCTCTTTTAATGACTTTTATGTCAACCCATATTCTTTTTCATTGTGGCTGCAAACTGGACAGGCAAGTATATAGCTTTTGCTTTTATTAGATATTACTTTATAAGATTATTTTTCCTATCCATCATTGGCAATCTCTTGCAAACTATAAGAGAGAAATTAATTGGTTGACTCGCAGCCACTTTCTACCAATGGTCTGTTTTGTTTTTGCCTCATTTCCTGGAAATTCCAGCCTACTCCAGTCTTCATACTTTTTTATGTTACTGCAATTATTTTGCCGTGCCGCAACATTAAAGTGACAAATGTACTACATTTCTTGCCACAAAATATACAATTTCATTTAACTAAAGCAGGTTGTGTAAGAGCACACATTTGGCTACATGGCACGCTCAAATAGGCTTTGCTAATGCCGACGTACAGTACAGTCCCTATATAATTCATGCAGACATTTGCATCCTAAACCGATGACAACTCTGTTTGTTGGGACTTAAATATTACTCAAAGGACTGAGTCTGTTGAAGTAGTTCAATTGCTGTTTTGAGTCTAATGTCATGCTCTTAATAAATTAAATAAAGGAATTTAATTTGCACTGTGAAACACACACACACGGATGGGCACAAACAAACACACAAATAATATCAGGCTTTGCAATGTCACTAGAACATAGCTGGGGGGGGCTTGTGTCAAGCAGTAATGCAAGTCAATAATCAAGCTTAATATGTCAGGACAGTAGAGGCAGCACCTATCTCTGCAAGTCTGAGCCAACACGCCTTCTTGGGAAGGTGATCCGGACTAAATGAGGAATGCTGATTTCGGAAAAGGGCAGAGATTCTCTCGCCAAGGGAATCCTGCTGAGACAGGAAGCCTGAAGGTTAATGAGCAGCGGGAAGCTGATTTTGGGTGTGGCGGGTGGTGCGAGTCTGTGAATGCGGTGGAGAGGGGAACCGGGACAGGGTAACCCTTTGGAGAGGAATCAACGTCAGCATGCTACTCCTGGACAAGACAGACGCTTGGTAGAAATGAATGCTTTGAGACGTGGACCATTGGTGCAACAAACATTTCAGTACCACAAAGCCCACACAGTCCTATGCAAAAGTCTTAGGCTGCCCAAGAAAATTATATTTAAGTGATCTTATATCTTAGGGTGACAGCTTAGCCATTTTAAGATTTCTCCTAAAGACGCCCCAGTATTTGCAGCGACCATCCAATATTCCCGTGTTATTTGTTGACTCAGCTGCTACCATGTCATGTTTGGCTAATCGATACCGCATCCAGCCATCTAATTAAGTTAATTAAATGAGCTGGTGATGAAACTTAACGAGTACACGTAAAGGCTGTGTTGTTCATCTAGCCATCCAAGAAAGTATCGGCAACTTTTTGGAGAAAAGAATTCATGTTAATCTTTATCGAGTTACTCTTCATTTGCATATGTTCTAATGCTAAATTGTGTTTTTTTTTTCCTAAGTAAATTTACATTTGCTACCCAGATACATTTTTCTTTCACTGCTTAAGACTTATGCGCAGTGCTGTGTACTGTTTCTAATTACTGCGTTCTTCAGCAGCACAGCACTTGGCCATAAGGAGTTGTACCAAAAACACATGTTAAGCCATATTGTAGAGTTTGCCTTCTGATGACCAAGGGCCATGGGGGGAGGGGCATTCTCTACTTCTGGATGAGGAGCTGTAAGTCTGGAGGACCATCAGACACATTCATGCAATGTTTAAGGTTTACCACAGAGAAGCTGTACTGAGCTAACGTCCCCCAGGGGTGTGTTCAGAAGACGGATGTTTTCTTGCGGCAGATGCCCAACTCTGCCCATTGTGGGGTTAACACTATAATCAGGAAACACACGGCCATCCTTTATAAAGTTGTAACTACATCCCAAAACACCTACTGTATGTGTCCCACGCTCCCTCGTTACCTTTCCTTCGCCCTGGAAGTTTTTTCAAATTCCAGATGTTGAAGTGTTGTCCCAATACCTTAGGGCAGTGTTTTCCCAGACAGTCCACGTTTTTGCTCCCTCCCAGCTCCCAGCCAATCAGGAACACAGAATACCTGGTACAGGTGCGCTGGGGGCTGAGAGGAAGCAAAAACTTGGACTGTCCGGGGTTCCCCGAGGACTGGGTTGGGAAACACTGCCTTGAGTCACCAAGGGATGATTTTTGCTCAAATTACCCCTTTGCTGGGGGCTTGTGGAAGTCTAGTTGAGAGTAGCCTTTGCAGAAGAGAGATTCACCCATGCATGACGTGGCAGGAAAGCTTCTACTTCAGTGATGATCTCATACATACAGGCAGAGCATGGTAAATCACTGAGGATGCAAGTGTGTCCCGATACCGCTTTTTGTCTGTGCTACCTTCCTCGCTCACTCACTCGTTCCTTTCCTCGTCCACTTCAGGAACTTTCAACTTGAGTCATTGAGGGAGGGAGTAAGGGAACCATCAAAACAACAGTTTTGGGATGTAGCCAGGCTGCTGTGCAACATCATCATGTGACTAGTGATGTCATTACAATAACATGGAACCCTTTTAGCCAAGGGTAGCAGCTGGAATGTACAATTTTACTAAAATCACGTGCTGTTTGTGATGTGCTGTGTATTTCTGGCAATTAATGCTTTGTGCGTTGTCTGAAGCAGTAACACTACTATTTATACACAACTAGTTTCTTTAGTATTTGTAAGTGTTTTCTGAATTTGCAGTGCATTGAAACTTGTCTGCCACCATAAGAGGGAGAATTTAGTATAAACATAATATATTAGTGTTGATTTAAATATCGGAATAGACCACTTGACATGAATTATAGTAAATGGCATGTGATTATATTCAGATCACAATAATACTGATTACTTTCAGAGCACATCAATTTGCTTCCCCCAGAACAAACTTGAACAGGAAGACCTGTTGTTACTGAGACTGATAATTTATACAGAACTAATGAAGGGTTATTTATTGTATGCTTGATGTAGTAAAGCTTCCTGTACAATTTTTTTTTTCCAGTTGTAATTCATATATCCATCCACCCACCTATCCATTCCATCCATTTTCTAACTACTCATCTTAACTACTCACAGTAATTATAATCTATCTATCTATCTATCAAGGTGTATAATCGTAGTATTTGACACTTGCTGTATTACATTGGTTTCTCAGCCACACATGCATTTTCTGATGGACATTTTTTTCCTTTTTCCCTTTCTTGCAAATTGAGATAAATCACATAAGCCGCTGGAACCTGGCAAATATTCAGCCCCGTTTAAAGGAATTCTATTGACAGGGGAAATTAAGCTGTCACTCCGCTACGGCAAGGACGAGGTGTAACTCCGCGCCCCTTTTGTATCCAGTCGTGTTTCTTCTGCATGGTATCCAGGGAGACAGACAGCTCTCAATCCCACGTCTAACGGTGATGGAAGGAGAAAAGTGTGCTGGGCATCAGAGGTAGAGGAATCGCCTAAGAAAGAGACACACAAATCGTCACAAAATGGCTTTCTGTCAGCCTGGTCTGCCTTCCAGGTCTGAGGCAAACTCTTCTCTTCTGAGAGAGAATTTGTACTGTATCATAACATCCACTCTCACTTCAATACATTGAAAAAGCAAAGAGATATTAACACTTGCAGTTCAAGGAAACAGCAAAACACAGCATCACATAAAATGAGATGTGTGTACAATGTGGGGAGGGTATGATGTCTCTGGGGGGGGGAGACAAGCTCATCTACTCACCTGCAATCAGTTCGTTTATTTGTGTGTGTACTATGTTTATATTACATCGAGGGGACCAAATGTTCCGCACAATGTGATAAAAGCCGGTTATTTTGATGTTGTGGGAACCATTTCAAAGGTCCCCACAAAGATCTGTGAATGCAATCAAAAAACTACAAATACCAAATGCCTCGTATTTTGTTTTGTTACTTGGTTAAGGTTAGGGCTGGGTAGGGGTTAAGGTCATCATGTTGGGATTGGAGTGAATGGAGAGTCCCCACAAAGATATGAATACAGGTCTGTGTGTTTGAGGGAAAGAAGGAGAGAGAGAAAGAGAGAGGGAGGTGGCGTTTTATTTTATAGTTATTTTGTATGTTCACCTTCATATCTGGAGGTTGCCAATAAAGTTTCTCAGACCCTCCCTCCAAAGTCCTGTGTTCCATCGATCTGTTTGCTGTCTGGAAGATTCATAATTTTTACAATCCAGCGAGATCTCATTCTGCAGGAAACACAAGTTATTTTGAAGGGTATGAACGGTTCGACAGATGAGAATATTACAGCCACAAAGAGCTGTTTCCCAGGGTTTCTTTCTCCAGGACAGGAAGCCAGCGTGGGTCACTTATGTCCTGCCTGAGGTGTGTTTTATCAAATAATTGTACCTTTGTTTCCGGGAGAAGGAAAACAAATCAATAAGCAAATAGAGAGCTTTTTTTTGGTGTAAAACACAATGATGCTGTCATCTGTGGCCCTAATGTTTGCCAGTGTTTTAAGATGACAACCATCCAGGTCGGGCTGATAGTACTGCAGACGGCACAAGGCACCAAAGCTTTGGAGCACTGCATCTCCGGCCAGTCCATTCCACACCCCCATCCCTATCTACTAACATTGCCTTTCCCAGGAATTCCACTGCCTGCTGTCTCAGTACTCTGGGATTTCAAAATCCAAAATGGGAACTATAGAGAGGTAAACCCAGTCCATGGGGACACCCCCCCCCCCCCCCC